TTAATATATAAGTTTTTATTAAAAAAATTAAACTTTTTAATAAAAACACAAGCAAATTTGCCTGTGTTACAATTTAAAGGATAATAATTATATTTATTTATTAGAATGAATCTATTTGTTACTAGCAATAACTGTAACTAAATTCAATTAGCCAATCAAAATTCATACATGAGACATAAAAAAATTTTTAAGTTTTTTTTATTACTAATATTTATATTAAAAAAAAAAAAACATAACGAATATTTTAAAAATGTGATAATCTCTACCAAAAAAACTATTAAACTACTAAAAAGAACATCAAAGAAATAATGAAAAAATGCCAAAAAAATATCAAGTAAATGCTAAAAGAAACATCAAAAAAGTAACAAAAAAGATGCTGAAAGAAATATAGAAAAAACACCAAAAAAATACTAAAGAAACACCAAAAAAACCATTGAAATAACATCGAAAGAAACTAAAGAAACAGTATAAGAAATATTGATAAAATGGCAAAGAAATGCTAGAAGTATCAAAGAAACATCGAAAAAAACCAAAAAAAATATCAAAGAAATGCTGAAAAAATTCAAAAAAACACCAAAGGAAACATCATAAGAAGCACTAAAGAAACACCAAAAAAATGTCAAAGGAAATATTGTAAGAATGCCAGAAAAAAATATCAAAAGAAATACAAAACATAAATACAAAAATGCCAAAGAAAATATCAAAAAAAATACTGAAAAACACGAAAGAAAAATCTACCAAAGACTTACTAAAGAAATGCTAAAAACATGAAAGAAAGATCTACTGAAGACTTACTGAATAAAACAAAAAAACCTACTCAAAAGACCACTGAAAAAACACCAAAGAAAACGTTGAAGAAAATGCAAAAGACCTACTGAATAAACACCAAAGAAAACATCAAAGAAAAACTAAAAACATGAAAGAAAGATCTACTGAATAAATGCTAAAAACTACCAAAGAGACACTAATAATAACAACACTGAAAAACAACAACGCCAATGATGACCAATACTAACTACAATATGACTCTAAATAAAAAAAATAATAAAAACAAACTGTGATTATATATGATCATCTATCTCAAATCTAATTGGCTGATCGGCAATCCTTTAACAAGCACATTTTTTCTATTTTATGACGTAGTATTATATCAATATTTAAAATTCAAAAATATATTTTTTATATACCGATTATGTTGAAAAAATTACCGGCTGAAAAAATTTTTCGGCTACCATATGCCACTAACTATAGTACCCCTGTCATAATACCCCCCATGAAAAAGACCCAGATACTATTCATGGGTTCATGATTCAGAAAATTAAATAAGACCCGAGTATTATTCTAGCTATATATATATATATATATTTGAAGTCCTTATTAAATAATATTGAAGCTATGTAAAGTACCCCCCTATTATAGTACTCTCCCTGTAATTAGTACCCGGGGTACTATAGTCAGTGATGTACGGTATTTTTAATGGACGTTTCCTCCTAAATAGAAGTTTAGGGTCCACTTTAAACACTAGTTTTTGAGTATTTTCGCTTTCTTTCTTTTTTTTTTTGAGTAGGCTAAAACCAGGTATATCACGATATTACCCGATATTTAACCAAACAAACAAATGAGACAACAAAGATAAAACGTGAAAAATATAAAAAACGACCTTAATCTAACTCTAACTCTAATATCATTCGATTTTAGTTAAAAATCCTTTCTTATATATACTGCGATAATCAATTTTCTTACATAGCCTATTCGTACTACAATTTTTTCCAAGTATAAAACGAACTGGCATAACTTCTGTAATACTAAACTGCTTAGTTTTTGGAGAGGATCCTTATGATGAAATTTTTTCAGTTGAAATTAGCACTAGTAAAAATGTTTATGCTCTTAAGAAAGCCATCAATGATAAACTTAAAAGTGATGTAGTGACAAAGAAACTCAAATTGTTCAAAGTTAATATTTCCCTTGGAGAAACTAGAGATGAGAATATCGTGCAGATGCTTGATCTCAGTATTGGTCAGGAAATGAATAACTTTCAAAAAATTAGTGATTATTTTAGTGCGCAACCAGTTGACACAAATTTACATATTCTCGTGCAACTTCCTATTGTTGCCACTGGTGAGTCAAAAATTTAATCAACGTGATATAGCTTTATTTTTTTCTCTTCTCTATCATATTCGCCAATAATACCGAATACTTATACTCAGTTGTCGCTCAATTCCCTGAAAGACATTCTTTAATAGGTCACTTACCCGACATCACATAGGGTTAGAGTTAGCATTCTATTAGTTGCAGGTATTTATTTTTAGCAATTTGTCACCCTGTGTGATGTCGAGTCGGGGAAATAGCTTTCGGGGAATCGTACCGTAATCGAATACTCACTTATTCCCATGCTTTTTTTTCCTGCTTTTTATCACAAACCCGCCCAAAAACACCAGTTGCTGGTAAGCGATGAGTGAATGTTTGTCTTGCTTTATTTTCTTCCACAATTATATCAAATATAATATAAGCAATGTTTTACTCTGTCATTTTCCAGGCACGATAAGGGCTCGTTCATTTTCTCTTGAATCTAATATCAACGAAAAACGGCTAAAGTGTGAAAAAGGTACTTTTTCATCTTTTCAATTATTGAGTTGAGAAAATTGAATTTTGTATTCTCATTTCTTTTCTCATCCAGAATACAACGACACTGTTGCACGTGGCCTTGAAGCGATTAGCCCCTCAGTTAGATCTAAGCCTTCTGAATTCTTCAGAAGCCAACAATCGTGCCCAATCCTTAATGGTCGACCATTTGAAAACACTAGTCCACCCATTACTCTTTACCATATCATATTTAGCCAATTCCTTGGTGATCTTAGTAATGCGAATATCGAAATACCTTCTGATTTTTTACTATGGATTGATGATTTTATTTATGCAGCGATAGACAGTTATTTTGAAGAAGAACGTAATCAAAAAATGAGAAGTCTGTTTTCGGATAAATTAGGCACTGTGTTGGTGATTGAATATGGACAAGGCAGGGTGAAGTGCAAGAGTGATGGGGTGTTTACATCAACTACAAATATAGATCTTATCACTGCTTATTTAGGAATATTCAAAGGAAAGAACGAGATTGGAACAGGTGGAAGTGACCCCACTATACAAGGAGCGATATATTTTAGAGATTATTGGTCTCAGTCAAATGTAAGTAAAATTTTTTAATCTCTTGATTAGTTTATATACAATCATGTGGCAATTAATAATACTTTTCATTCAGGTTGGCAAAATCTGAGAATGCTGCTGTGCTCCGTCCTTCATCATCTCCATTGCCGGCCCATGGGTTTGTATCCTTGGGGCCGTTTTTCTTAATAGAGTTGTAGTCCAGCTGTTAACGGACTTCATTCCTCTCACGATAAATCTACGAATTCCAGATCAAGTCAATCAAATTGCTTGCCTTTTTTATGCATTGCTTGTTGCTTTTCAACGGCTTCAGTATTTCTATCAAAATCTGAGCTTGGATCCATCAGATCAACGATTTTTTCCTTATATTTGAGAGTTTTCATTATGCAGTGGTCGTGTTTCTTTTACTTACATAAGCGAATTATTGGATGGTTACACAAGTTCCATATAGAAGGCTAAAACAGATGATAATCATATGATTGTTGTAAAATTTGCGCCAAAATACAATTTTGAAGCACATAACATCTATGCGCTTCAAGATTACACTCCAAAACTACTATACTGTAGTAATGATGAAGAAGCTAAGACACTAGGGGGGCATAAGATGATTATTATAGAATATGTTGACAGTACTTCACTTGATCAGAAACATGAGATTAATCCTGTGTTTTGGGAGGCTATTTTTAACGACGTTGAGGCTGCTATTTAGTTGTTATATAACAATAACTTTGTATTTGCAGACCTTTGCGCCCCAAACATTCTAATTATTAATGCGACTCAACATGCGATGCTTATTGATTTTGATTGGTGTGGGAAGCATGATATGGATAAGTACCCACCATCAATGAATAAAAATTTATCATGGCCTCCTGGAGCGGAACCTTGTGCCTTACTCAAAAAAGAGCATGACATTCATTGGCTTAATTTGTTGCGAGATAAGTTCAAGTAAGTTCTCTTCCTTTCATTTCAATCAGCATATCGAAGCTCATAATCAGCTCCACATAAGGATCAACTGTATCAAGGTCATATATGCCACCTAAAGGTTATAGATTTTTGCATAACATTTTATATTTTGATATTTTAGTAAAGAATAAATAATAAGTTTCGCAAATATTGTACTATAGTCATTGAATGTATAATAAGTGAAACGCAATTGATATGTTATACATGATAGTTTTAGTATACTGCGTAGAGTTTGGACCCATCAACCACATATCTGGATATCCGTACAGTTTACCACATATCCGGATGCTATAAATGTCTTATGGGTAAGAACCCTTATCCACCAGTTTCCAAAAGGATAACCTAACAGATATCTGCAAGTATCCACGGATACCCGCAGTTAGAGATTGGATCCTAATAAGATCTGGGTTACCTACCCGTTTAAAATAATACTGATTAATAAATGCTACAAGCCGAATGTAATAATGGTAAATACTGTATTGTTGCGAAATAATACCCATGGGCGTTATTTAGAGTAATGGTCTGAATTAGGCTTAATTTAGGCCAAATTTTGAAATTATGTCTCTGCGCGTTATTTGCGACAATACGTGTAACCACTTATTTGTGTGGATAATACTGCATCCACTTATTTGTACTGGTAATACAAACCTCTAAAAAGGAAATGGCCAATCGGAAAACGTAAAATGTGATGATCCTGGATCAGCCTAACACGTGAGCAAAGCGAAGAAAAATACTGAAAAAGAGAAAATACTCAAAAACTAGTGTTTAAATCGACCTTTATGGACTAATAAAAAATAACGGGAATAAAATTTACATATAAAAACTCAAATTATCACTAAAAGCTCACAACCCTAACACTAACCCTAACGCTAACCTTAACATCCTAATCCTAAACTTTCTTAGTTTATTTACAAATGTGATTTTCTTTTTTGGTTTATATTACCGGCGCAAATAAGTAAATTGGGATAGCACTAACTAACCTCTAAAAAGGAAATGGATACAAATTTCGGGTATTCCGGATCAATCTGACATAGAATCCGAACACATGTAAGAAAGCAATAATACTCAAAAACTAGTGCTTATTTTTACGCACTTATTTACAAATTTTGATTTCCTTTTTTGGTTTGTGTTACTCGTGCAAATAAGTACCTAAATCGCATTTATGATCTTAATTTGTAGACCTAATTAATACAAATTAAATAATTTATATATTATAGCAAATAAGTATTTATAATATTAACTTGTAAATTTGGTTTGCTAATTTAATTCTACTGATTACTTATGTGATTCATAATGTTCTGTTTATTTGTTTTGATAGTTCAATATCTAAATTAATAAATATAAAATTTAGCAAAATATTAAAAGTGCTAATATAATGTTATAACTTGTTAGTTTATTATAATTATAACAAGTTATAATATTATATTTGCATTTATACAACTTAATTTAAAGCTGGTTTTTTGAATCTTATATACAATACACTCAAACCTCTATAAATGCAATGTATACAGACTAGCTTCAATCGTGCATTTAGGGAGGTTTGCATTTAGAGAAAGTCAATCAAATTGCAGCTTTTAATGTTTGATTTGCAGGCTTGTATAATACAACTTAAATACTAAATTCTGATTAGCTATATGCATTTAGGGAGGTTAGTATAATATAGAAAATCTTTTAAGTGAACATATATTTGTAGAATATAGAACATGCATTTAGCACTAATAATTTCTTATAGCCAGGCCAGAAACGTGCATTTAGAAATGTATTGCATTTATGAAAGTTGTATTTATAGAGGTTTGACTATACGTGTTTTTGTAATGATTTAAACTAGTTATAATAGTTGTAGCTAAGCTAGTTTAGCTAGCTAAATCAGTTAATATAATATTATTGGCTTGTTAATATAGTTAAATATTATATGATTTAATATATTATATAGTACGAAACAGCAAAAAACATCTAATTTTTATATATAAAATATAAAAATGCTTATAACTTACAAACAAATAACTTTTAAAAAAATCTTTTAGTCTAAGCTACAATTTTGTTAAAATAGATTTTTATTTTTATTACAATTTTAAAAAGTTATAAGAGTTCAAAGTTTATATATAATTAAAAATTTGGCATTTAATATATAAAAAAATTTGTTTGTATAAATTTTTAACTAATCAGAATTTTGTTATACAAAAATTAGCCAATCAGATTTAAGTATAAATCTCAAAATTTGGTGTCTTTAAGAAAAAGTTGAATGTTTTTTGCTATCCTGCACTATAGAAAATAAATAAATATATATAATACAAACAAAGATAAATTAAATTTAGTATATAATTTTTACAATTGTGTCTAATATACACAGATCGAATAAAGCCATATCAGGAACTGTGTAACTAGATAAAAACTGAAGACATATTGGGTTTCGATATATCTCTGGTTTTAATTTTTAATATTATAGTTCTATCGGGTAACTAATAAGACTATGATATTAACTCAAATATAAAATAATAAATATAAACTATATCATATAATAATCAGAAATAAATCAAATAAGTCTATAGTTTAGGTCTTATATTATAGTCGAGATATACAAATGTTGCAGTTGTTATAAAATTTTTTCTTAAACCTAGCATGGGTTATAATAGTATATTTCTTCTTGTTTTGTTTTCTTTTTATTATTTCGTTTCCCCTATGCTATTTCTTTATAGAGGTAGTTCTCCCCTTTGTCAGCCCTCGGGCTTTTCTCTTTGTGTTTCTTTTTTTTACATCTCATTGTACCCTCTTTTTTTGTCTTTTAAAAACACTCCTTCGTTCTAATTGTCTTTTTTTTTTTAGTTAGTTTTTTCGGTTTGTTTTCTTGATATTATTGGTAGTTTTGTATGAGATCATCACTTTCTTTTGCTCTTGGTAAAGAAAAAAGATATGAAGGGAAAAGCTTTGACGGGCTGACAAAGTTTATCTAACTTGTATACAGGTTGGTGCGACAAGTCGCAGTTGGGCATGTTTATCGCAGCCAGGTGATATCAGGCTCGCAATTGCAAGACTCCCTGTTTTTTGGTTATGAATGATATATGTATTGTTCGAGAGAGCTTAGCTCTCACCTGAAATATAGTCCCAATAAATTGAGCACTAGTAAGACTGTCAAAGATTTAAAAAAAAATAAAAATAAAAATAAGTCTATAGAGCTATTAGTTAATTTATATATATATGATGTTTAACTTATAATACACAATATTAATAAAGATAATCAAAACATATTAAGATTAAAACTAATGTATCTATAGAGCTATCAAATAAATTTATTTGTATATGATGTTTAACTTATAACACACAATATTAATAAAAATAATCAAAACATATCGGTATTAAACCTGATATATCTATAGAGCTATTGAATAAATTTATTTGTATATAATTTTTAACTTATAGAACATAATATAAATAAAGATAATCAAAATATATTGTGATTAAAACTGATATATCTATATATATATGATTTTTAATTTATAATACTTGATATAAAAATTGATAATCAGTACAGATCAGTAAAATATTATAATAATGTAAAGCCTTATCAGGCTAAGCATTTCAGATAAAAACTAGAGACATATTGATTTTTGATATGTTATTGTTTTAAATTAATATCCTATTGACCATGTAGGTCTTTTGATATAATAATAAAACTATTAAATAATTTTTTTTTATTTTTTTATTTTTTTTGGTATTAAGGTGATCTCTTTGGCCTGAGAACTTTTTATTAGAGTATAGATGGAGTTTTATAATGTAATTACAACGATAGTATATCAAGCCACATATGCACTTTTTGAGTGTCTAATTTAAATAGTCTATCCAAAGGTTTTATACTATCTGCTATACCTACACCCCAACTAAAAGGGTACCTATTTAAACTATCTAGTTCTAACTACCTCCATCAATCCTCTAACTCAAAAGATTTTCTCACTAAACTAAGTAGATATTGATATTACTTCACATTAGATTTTGCACCCTGCCTTAGAACTTACTAACCTATATAAACCTAGTCTATTCTCAAAATAAATCTAACATAGTGATACATGTCTCATATATGTATTCATATACTTGTTTCTATAACTTCTTTCTAATTAGTACATATTAATCTTCTATTCTGTATTCATATCTCATACTACCTTTTGGGATGCTGCCATTCTTTAGACATTTCTCAAGCACCAACCTTCCTAACTAGATACCTATTACATACTTCTTGCCTTTGTTTTGGTTTCTAGCAACTCCAATATCCTGCATTTAGACCATCTTCTTACTCAGATTTTTTATTGGTCCCTCTCTTACTTCTAGCTAGCAACCTGGAAGAGTCGATCTTCCCAGGCTTTAGATACCTGAAAGATGCCCTCCTCTTGGTTTATACTTTCAGAGTGTATGTCCTTTTTTTTCAGTGTGACAACCCAGTAGTTTGGCTAGTATGTTCTCCACCATTAGGATCTGGTTGCTTGGTTTTCTGATCTTGGGCCCCAGTTTGAATTCAGCCCTTCTGTAATACTATCATAGATCATCACTAACTCCAAACTCAAGACTTGCCAAACAGGTTTTTAGTTATTCCGGTCCCTGGATTTATTGCGCCAAAGCTTCCATTATGACCAAGGTTACAGATTAATCTAGATCCAACTGATAGAAAACCATCAACTGTATACAGGCCTATTTTTCAAAATCATCACTAGTGGGATTCAAACTCTAGACCTGCTGCTTGGAGAAAGTGACAACTAGACTACTATACTAAGTCACCACACCTCAAAATATACTATTTTTAGTACAAAATAGTAAATTCAATTTATTAATATTTAAAAGTTTTATCTCTGATTATTATATTATTATTTAATTTATTATACTTAATTGCTTTTTAGCTAATTATTTAAAATTTTTAAAATCTTTAATTAACTTTATAATCAAATATAAAAAACATATTATATATATATATATATATATATATATATTTATTCAGCAATATAATTATTAAATCTTGATATAATTATTATATATTTTTAATCATACAAATCTAATTACAGCCTAATTTATATATATATATATATATATATATTTTTTTAAGCGATCCTGTTTTTATTTATTTGAACTACTATGTAATACAATAAGTGCCG